AAAAACCCCACACTTTGCTTTCTTTCCCATGCTTTGATTCCTTTTTCTTCTTTTTTTTTAACTCAGCTGCTCATATTGAGGAAATTCTGTCTTCTGGCTGAGGCTAAGCTACCCAACCAGATCAGGAGGGTTGGCTCATCTATCACTTTTCTCCTTGTAGATGCTTGAGTGCTACCTGCTTAGTTTACATTGAAGATCAAAATCCTTTATAAGAAACCCCATCCTTCCCTCCCCCACAGTGAAAGAGCACACAGACACCCCCTCTGTCACGCCTCCCCCCCCACAAGCAGCAGGACCACCCCAATCTGTACTGTCGCTGGTGATGTGTAAATTTCGGTTTTCAGGCTGCAGCGCTGGCAGCAGGGAAGAGAAAAGTAGAATCTCATTTTGACTTGTAAAACAGAGTTGATTGTGGAAGTGACTGCTAGGGGAATAAACACCGAAGAGGGAGTTGTCAATTTTAATGGTGATTCATGTTTCTGGCCACTACCGAGTGCACATTGCACCCCTGGAGACCTGGGCATCCGTAGTCTTCACAGCATCGCCGCTCCATTTCAGCACCATGGACAGCGTTGTCCCGACACAGCTTCCCATTTTGAGGGAACGTTCCATATTGTGAGTGTAACCAGGGGGAATGAGACATCAATGCTTTGTTGATCGAGGGATCCCAGGAGCAGGAAGGTGGAAATGGTAGGCCAGAGTGTCCATTCAGCAGGAAGGAGGAGCTAGCGACATTTTAGAAAGGAAAATTTAATGATTAGCCTTGGATGTTCAAGATGGCGATAAAGAGGATATCAAAAGAGCTAGGAAAGAATGACTGCTTGAGGCCTGGATAATGGATTACTTTTTTTTTTTTAACGGAAGCTCTAAAATTTTACTATTAAGCAATGAAGCATGCAGCCCTCATGGTCCAAGGGAAAAGCTTGATCCTGTGATCAGCAGCCCACATCCTGCAATCTGTTGCTGTCAGAAGGGATTCTAGCGTATTGCCTTGACAGAAATTTGCTGCCTGTAAGAGCTGCCCTGTTCACAGCCAGGAAGCTGTGGATGTAAACAGGAAGGCCTATGTGGAGCTTTGCCTACCTTGATGCAAACTTTGTGACCCCATTCATGTAGAACAGAATTCCTTGACCTGATATTCTGGCAGGACCCAAAACATCTGGAATAAACCAGGTTGCAAAAGGCTGATGTAGAAGCTTTGCATAAGCTACAGTGCAGAAACAGGACCCTGAGCTGGGTAAATATCTATGGAAGGCTCTAAAATTTAGAGCCTTGTTTATTTATTTATAGTATTATATCCCTCTTTATAGCCTCGAGAGGCACTCAAAGTGGCTTATGAAAGGTTCTCAGAATAAAATCATACTCCAACCTGGCACGGGAACAGGAAATGCATCTGCAACCAGAATTATTCAGGCAGCATTGACTACCCTGGTCCTTGTCTTTCTTTGTTGTCATACTGTTCATTGTTGTCTAGCAGCTCCATCAAAACTGTCTGATGCAAGTAAGTGGGGATGAGCAGCCTGTGATGGAAGCAGTCTCCCCTTGCTGGTAGTTTGTAGTTGGCAGTTACTAGGCAACAACTCCCACCCAGGACTTCTGAGACATAGGAGCACGGCAAAGACATTGGATCTTGCTCAGTCTGAGATGGAGGTAGCCTTTATTTGTTGGTGGTTGCCAGTTTGCTTATTTGGAATCTTTGAAAGTTGAGGGACAATATTTCTTAAAGCCATCCATGTTCCTTTTCCTCCTACAAGAACTTCAGCTTACATCCTGACTGCTGCGGTATCATGCTGTCCCACAGTCTTCGGTGAGTCATCTCCCTCCCAGCATCCTGCCCTTGGCAAAAATCCACATTTTTTTCCAGAAACATAACATTTTGCAACCAGAATGAATTGTGCAATATAAGCAAATTAATACAAGTGTGCATAATGTATACAGCAGCAGCAGCAGCAGATACCGTGTTTTCTTAGTAACTCTTTTTTTATTTTTAAAAATGCTGATTTTTTTTAATCTTCTGGGAAATAGCATTCAAAAGAGAGCTTCTGGCCAATCACGTGTGTTGTTTCATGAAACCACTTCATGCTTAAATATTGGCCTGATTCTGAGCCTGGACCAGAAAAAAACTTACTGTAGCATCTCACATGGCTTGTTTCATGAGTACACTGACCCCTGAGTTGCTATCCAGATGAATAGCAACCCCCAATGCCACCTGGGCCCTGATCCCTGGCATTTTATGCTGCACATGGGTAAACCCACATGGGTAAATTTTTGTGTATACCCAGAGATACATTTAAACCATCCTTTAACTCTGAGCTGCCTCTGTTGTCTTTTTCCCTTTCATTCTCATTGTGACCATCTCACCATTTTGCAAATCTTTTTAATTCACTGCTCATGTGCAAGGCCTTGCCATGTTGACAGGTGGGTTGTGCATATAGCCTCACTCTTGATGTTGCTACTCTCTTTTTCAGCAACTGCGGCTGTATATATGGTATTGCTTCTCTGCATCCAGTGAGCTCCCGCTGCTAGTTTCCAAAGCCACATACACACACAACGTTAGCCACCATCCATATCGATCCTTCAGTTCCTTGATAAATACTGTTGGTGGATGCTCCTTTCCCCCCTCCAGCCAGCTTCAATCCTACTGGAGAACCTAAGCTGCATTTGTTTCATATTTAAGTGTGTACATTTGATACAGCTGTGCTATCTCAAAGGAGATGGCCATTTCATGAATATGAATTCCGGGGGTTGGATGGTTGCAGGAGCAGGAGAACCAAATGGGTTGTCAGGCTTTGGGGAATCGGCTCCCTCCCACAGGTCAGCTCAGAATCAGAGAAACATTAAGAATTCTTACAAAGCAATTTATTCAATAATTCACAGAGAACAGCGAAGGAATATAGCCTTTCCTAAAATGGAGTTGCTCCAACTGAGCTCCTCCCCTCTCCCTTCCTAGCAACAGCACTTCCCCTTACAGTGGCAGCCAGGGGTTAATTGTCTCTGAGTCCTTTGCTCTTGCACCCTCAATGAATGCTGTGTTCTGGGAGAAGGGGGATCAGAACTACTCTCCAGTGATAACATGTCAGCTGGCTGCTCTGTCTCTGCCTTCTCTTCTCCCAACACCTCCCAACTCTTCTGTACACCTCTCTCTGAGCTGTGATCTTCCTCAAACCACTGCTGTAATTTAATACTGCCTTCCTCTTCACTGGGAAGTTCAGGGGGCAGCGGTCTCCACCATTCCCCCATCAGTCTCGTCCCCCTCAGTCCAGTCCCTGACATCAGTCATGTGGGTTAAGACATCCGCTCCCCCTTTCTGATGTGTACAAAACTGTGCAAATGTGGCTTAAGAACAAAAGAGGAGCCTGCTGAATCAGGCCAATGGCCTATTTAGCATGGCTTCACATTCTCACTGTGGCCAACCAGATGCTTGTGGGAAGCCTGCAAGCCAGACATGGGCAGAATACCACCCTGCCTACCCGCAGTTCCCAGCCACTTGTATTCAGAAGCATGCTGCCTCTGACAGTGGAGGGCAGAATACAGCCATCATGACTAATAGTGGCATTGCTGTCATGGCTGTGTTTTAAGCCACTGGTATTTACACAGCCTGCGTATTTTCCAACCAGTAATCTGCAAGCAGGTTGCCCAATCTCATAGAGTTCCTACTCATGAGCAGCTGCTTGCATGTGGGAATTTCACTGCAGACAGCTGTAATTGCTGCAGGAAGGAGCAGTGGTAGTGGGGATGGGGCTCAAAGCACAGCTCCACCCTGTCAACATGGCATGGCTGTGCATGACAGCAATGAATACCGTATTTTTCGCTCTATAAGACGCACCAGACCAGAAGACTCACCTAGTTTTTGGAGAAGGAAAACAAGAAAAAAAATATTCTGAATCTCAGAAGCCAGAACAGCAAGAGGGACTGCTGCACAGTGAAAGCAGCAATCCCTCTTGCTGTTCTGGCTTCTGGGATAGCTGTGCAGCCTGCATTCGCTCCATAAGACGCACACACATTTCCCCTTACTTTTTAGGAGGGAAAAAGTGAGTCTTATAGAGCAAAAAATACGGTAAATAAGACCATAGAAGCATGTACAGTCATACCTCTTGTTACATTTGCTTCAGGTTAAATCTTTTCAGGTTGCATCCTGTGGCGACCTGGAGGTCCCAGAAAGGGTTACTTCCGGGTTTTGCTGCTCGCACATGCTCAGACACTCAAAATGACACCATGCACATGCGCAGAAGCGGCGAATCATGACCCGCACATGCGCAGATGCGCAGACATGGGTTGCGTTCTGCTCATGTTGTGAACGGGGCTCTGGAACAGATCCCGTTCACAACCAAAGGTACCACTGTAATAGTAGATTTTCACCGTAGGCAATTCAAAATTATATACATCCAAACCCTGAACTTTTCTGGATGTATGAAGGTCTATCTTGCAAAGGCTTTTGATATCTAGCCTGACCTTTTACATGAAGCAGACAAGAAGCCTGTTTCTACATAAATGATGCATATTAGCCATGTGTATCCTATTAGTAACGTCTGGTTAAAAGAAACCAAAGACGATCAACTTACAGCCCTGTCTTGTGGATCTTGGTGTTTCACGTGTCTGAGAAGTGCATGCAGAGCTTTAAGCTTCCCCTTAACCTCAAATACACTTAACTTCCATCTCCATTCCCTTCCATTTATTGCTACGTTGACAGTGGTTTTAAACTGCCATTTCCATTCTGTGCTCTTGTTTGTATTCTCCAAGAAATGGCAGCCTGCTATAAATTAATAACCCAGCACAAAAGTCCTCAAGAACCAGGCTGAAGTCATTATTGGCACAGTAGCAACTATATTTCAAGAGTAGCTATAGAATCAGGAACAGAGCTCTGTTGTTCACTATTCCGATGGTTCAGGGATGGGGAAGCTGTGGCCCTCCAGAAGTTCATAGAATTCATAGGATCATAGACTTGGAAGGGGCACTGAGGATCATCTATTTCAACCCCCTGCAATGCAGGAATATGCAGTTGTTCCATACAGGGATCGAACCTGCAACCTTGGCCTTATCAGCACCACGCTTTAACCAACTGAGCTATTTTGTTGGAGTCCAGCTCCCATCTGCTTCAGCCAGCATGACCAATGGTCAGAGATGATAGGAACTGCAGCCCAGCAACACCAGGAGGGCCACAGGTTAACACCCCCCCCACCATAATATTTCAGACCTAGAAAATATCCCACCATCTGAAGGCTTTAGATCAGGATATTATTTACATCTATCCTTTGTGTCTTAGTTTCCACTGTCTTGCTGGTCTGGGTACATCCACCCATGTGGTCAGCTCCCTGGTGTTTAGAGACCATGCAAGCATCACTTGATCTTTCAGGAGTTCTGTCACTATGCAATTTTTAAGCACACCTGGAAGCGAAAGCATAGGCAAAATTCCTTACAATTGCTTGGATTGGTGTGGGAGAAAGTGTGGAGGTGGAAGCAATCATGCCCAGCAAAGGTATCTGACTAAATTAGGAAATTATAGCTTATGGGTCTCAGGGCTGATATAGTCCCACATTGGTGTGGGGGCTGCTTCCTCTGGGATGTTAGTCATGGGGTGTTTGGATGGAGGACCCATGTAGTTTGGTAAGTGGTCTGCCAATAGCATCAGCAATTGTCAAATGGTCCATCGAAAAGTAATGCAGTTTGGGAATGCATTCCTCAAACGCTTGTGGAATGGATCGTGGCTCAATGACCAGACAAATCTTACTGTAAGAAGGAGGAAATGAATATGCATATATTTCAATGACTAAAAGAGAGACTTTCACTTGCTCGAGAGAGGGCGTATGGATCAGAAAGCTAGTGCAGCCGGGTGAGTGAACAGGATAGCACAAAGCTCTGAGTAGAGGATATTACTGAATTAAAGGTGTCTCTATTACATGGGGTGGAGGTGCCTAAAACAATAGTGCACTGAATATCCTGAGTGTCTCTGATAGAGAATGGACCAAAAGTGAAACAGAAATGCAACGCTGTACATACAGAGACACAATGAAGCAAAACACCTCACTCCCTTTGCAGAGTTCAGCTTCTAGCACAGATCCAAATACAGTAGCACCTCGGTTTACATAACCCTCTGGTTACGTAAACTTCACGTTTTGAAAGCCGCAAACTTGGAAGTATGGGACCGGGGTTTGCCGCACATGCATGTGCAGATGCGGTCTACCGCCCCACACGCATGCACAGAAGCGGTCTACCGCCATGCACATGTGCAGAACAGTGATCCTCAGGTTGTGGAAACCTCGGGATCCGGCTGGACCTCCGGAATGGATCCTGTTCACCACCAAAGGTCCCACTGTAAGTGTCTTGCCATGAGATGAGGTGGTTGACAAAACAGGCAAGGCTTTCCCTGCAGCTACCAGCACACAGATGGCTTTGTAAGTGGGCCATTCACTGAGCCAGCACATAAATGGGCCTGGGCGGAGCATATCAACAGGAAGGATGACTCAGTGTCGCATCACTGGATCCTTTGGCCAGTGCGATAGCAGTATTACATTGGCATGGTAGCTAGATGCATGGACACAGAAGCTTAGGATCTGATTAAGCTGCTGAGCTTTGTTTGTGAGAAGGAAGAAGGCCTTGTAAACTGAAACAACTCTGGTCCCTTGGGCATCACTGGAGTTTTAGGAATGAACGGGAATGATTTTTAGAACCATTACTGTAAGCAGAGACTGGGCAAAGGCAAAACTGCTTACTTGAATTATGGGTACATTTTTGCAGGTACTGAGCATGACCCAGGAACCTTATTCTCCAGCCACTGGAATAGTTTATAGGCCAAAGGACCTTTTAGGTGTGTGTGTATGTGTGTGTAAATGAGTGAAAGCTCACTGCAGCAAATAGCGTGGGGGGTGGGCACTACATTCTCCAGATTCAGAAGGATCACATGACCTAAGTAGCCAATAGGGATACAGCTGTGCTTCTGTAGTAAATGATCTTTGGTCTTGTTCTTCACTCTGGCTTAGTGCAAGAGTGAGCTTTTTATAGGCTGCCTGGAAGCTGTGCCTGAGTCTGCTGAGCCACTAGCCTGGTTCCCAACCACCAACCCCAGAAACTCTCTTGCTGTACCAGATTCCAACCAAGCCATATCTGATTAGCTACCTAGTGTTGCGAACTAATTTTGTTCACTGTGTGAACCTTGATTGGTTGAGATCACTCATGTGGTTAAACCGGAAACAAACAGTAAATAGAAAAGTGGGAGGGACAAGATTGTGGGGATTGCAAATATTCTCACGAATTTTTCATGAATTATTTCACCCCTGGTTAGATGAGCCAGTGGTCTGACTCAATAGAAGGAATATTATTATTATTATTATTATTATTATTATTATTATTATTATTGTATTCCTTGTACCCCACCCATCTGACTGGGTTGCCCCAGCCACCCTGAGCGGCTTCCAGCATATATAAAAACACAGTAGAACATTAAACCTTAAAAAGCTTCCCTACACAGGGCTGCCTTTAGATGCTTCCTAAATGTTATATAATTACTCATCTCCTTTACATCTGATGGGAGGGCATTCCACAGGGTGGGCGCTACTACCAAGAAGGTGCAAGAATGATCAAACCAAATACCAAACAGATAATTGAAGACCAATTTGGACCTGCAACTTCTGCTTGTTGTATGCTGATATGTCACCTAGCAACTCGTCAAAGGACAAAATTAAGTAGATGAGAGATTAGTCTATTCTATCACATTGGGAGGGGGCTACCACCTGTCACTTCTTAATACAAAGATTTATAGAACCAGCCCTTGCCCAAAGGCCTCTTGCCTGGTTAAATATATCCTGGATATGACTTGTTCTAACAGAACTGGAGTATCAAATTCAATGACTCCTCAACAAAGCCCTACTTATTGTTAAAAGACCAGAGTGGAAATTGTAGGCGTGGATGAGGGAGCATGCCTCAGAGCTGCTGTTTGCATGGGGTTAAGGTAAGAGGGATATTTGCACAGGGTGGTGATATCTTAGTTCAGGAGTGGAAGCTTAATGGATCAAGGCTGTGGCATAAGAATATGTGGTGGCAGTTTCTTCATTGTGGGAGGGGCATGGAAGAATTTATTTAGGTGCCTAATAATGGTATGATGCAGATATGATAAAAAAGACAACGTGATACATAACCAGTGTTGTGTGCATGGGGGGAAAAAGTTCCATGTTAAGGTAATCCAAATTTAGTACAAGAAAAGCATAATTCTTACACAACCACTATACATGAAGGAGGGGAATGAATATGAAGAAAGAAGAGTATGGACATGTTTATTGAAAGAGAATAAGAAGAATGGGTGTTCAAGAATGACATTTCAGATTTGGAGAGAGGGAAAACCGATTCTTAACATAACTCAGGGAGAAACTGTTGTTAACAATGGTGAAGAGTATTCATGGCAGAGCTATTGTTTTGCTAGCAAGCAGGGGGCATGGGATATGTGGGTGGGTGTCAAGAATATTGTTGTAAACCTGCTCTTTGGACATGCAAAATGATTTCCTTTCTAAGCTTTTGTCTCGTTTGCTAACTGAAGGTGCTTGCTTAATGACCTCTGATGGCTGGTAACTGCTAGCTACAAGCTGCCCACACATGGTGGGTGGGGACCAAAGGAAGCCATTTCATTATTTGAGTGTAGCCAGTGAAAGAGTTTTTTTTTCCTGACTGACTAGAAGCTGCCTAGGAAAGCTGCAAGGTTCCTGCTGGGAACAGATGTGACTTCTCCTGCAGCCAATGCTTGCAAAAGGTTGAACACAGGGCTGGTGATTCTGTGGTTCTTAAGTGCCTGACAGACAGGTGGCTGTTGGGTGCTTAGGAGCCCTGCACAAGGGATTTTGACAGGTGGGCGAGGCAACCCACCTGTCAACCATGTGATGTCATAACGGTGGCATACGATTGACAGGTGGTTCATCCCATCCACCTGTCAAAATCTGGTTCCTAGATCTTTCCCAAGCCCAACTGGAAATTTGGGGAAATCTTACTCATTGTACTGCCCTCTAGAGAATATTGCAGGTTGCTGAAACCAAACAGGCATTTTCTGTCATTGCTGCAGCACTGTGGACTGTCCTTCCCTCTGCCATATGTGAATCCTCACTGATTACTTCAACTATCTTGCCTTTTTTGCTCAGGCTTCCCTATACCCATTAGAACAGGCACCCCCAACCTTTGGCCCTCCAGATGTTTTGGACTACAGTTCCCATCATCCCTGACCACTGGTCCTGTTAGCTAGGGATCATGGGAGTTGTAGGCCAAAACACCTGGAGGGCTGCAGGTTGGGGGTGCCTGCATTAGAAGCTACCCTGTTATTTCTCAATTTCTGTTTTTAACTATTTGAGCTTTTAACACTGTTTTACTGTTTTTACCATGCTCTTTTGATTGCTTATAGGTTATTTTTGTATACCACTTCGGGATGCTTTTGATATTAAGTGGTTTAGAGGTGCTTTTAAATAAATAAGCAAGCCCCTTCCAGCATGCCATTGGCCTGGGATTATGGGAGTTGTAGTCCAATAGCATCTGCTGGGGCGCAAGTTGTAAAGGTTCCTTGGAACCTCTTATTCCTTTGGGAAGTGGAGAATGTGAAGCAGGACAAAGGCAGAGAGTTCTGATGGAACAAGAGATGGGTAATGAGATGTTGATAATTTCTGAAAAGGGTATTAAGTGGCTGATCTTTTAGCAGGTGGGGGAGGGCATTGGATCTTTGGGTGTCAGGAAACATTCTGTGGGGTACAGACTGAATGTAAAAAGCATCTGTTGTCTAAGTGATGCCTCTACTTGAGTGGGATTGAGGTCAGGTATTGATGTCTCTCTGCCGGGTAAAGAGTATCATGTCTCCAAGTGGCAAGCGGAGTTCAGCCTGGGACCTCAGTCACCCTGTCATTTTGCACAGAAGCGTGGGGCTCACTCAGGCACCTATTACCTCATCACCCCAGCTCCATTTGCACCTATGTTAACTGCTGTGCTGACATTCCTGTTAGCAACCACCATTCTCTTGCATAATGAAAGAGGACAGGTTTTGTGTTGTTTTGTTTTTAAAGAGCAGAACGAAAAATGCTGGCAGTGTGTGTGTGTGTGTGTGTGTGTGTGTGTGTG